TATCTAAGAAACCATCACAGGCGTGTGGACACTTACTGCATTCAACTACTTGTAAAGGGAAAAAGAATGATATTCTGAAATGAAGGGAAGGCTAATTAATTTTATTTCCTTTTCATCTCGACGATCGTATGATTTTTTAAACTTCCCAATCCTAAACATTAGAATATGTGTATTTTTACTTCTAATCATTTTCATTAAAATGAGCGTCTCTGTTTCAGTTTGGAGGCACCGCACAAAGATTCTGGTGTTGAGAAGAGAGAAGGAGGCTGTCAGTGTGGTACTTTTCAATATGACGAGGCACCGAACATGTGACAACAGACCCCCAAAGGCCACACGTGCAAGAGTGAAAAGGAAACCCAGAAACAGACTCTGTACAAACTGGGGAAGTCGGCCGATTGCCCCATTAACCTCTCAAGACACACGCCCTTAAACATCCTGGCCCAGTTAGTTTAACGTATCTGATCTGCTCCGGTCTTGGGAGGGGCGAGCGCCCGCCAGCCCTACCTCCTTGACAAACACGGAGTACCGGGCCAGGATCTGCAGCGTCAGCCTCCACAGACGGTGCGCCAGCGGCAGCAGGAACATCTTATCCGACCAGCACCTCTGGAGGCTGCTCCACGTGCTGTGAGAAGCCAAAAGGCAGAAGGAACTGCCAGCTGGAAAGAAAACACACAGTTAAGGAGGCCCGGCCACTGAAGGGTAACACCTAACTCTGTCAGCGTCTAATCCAAGCGTGCAGCTGCAACACCCCGAGGCACCTGGTGAGGTCAGCAAGGCTTCAGCAACCGAAGTGCGATGACCAAGAGGCCACAGACCACGTTTGCGTATCTCTCCGGCAATGCAGTTTTCTAAGTTTACAAGATTCCCCCTTCCAGGAATTTGATAAATACTAAACAGCATTCGGAGATGATCAGTTAATAGGTGCTTTATACCAAATCCACATACTTAGGCTGGAGTGGCCATCACATGTGCAAGGGTGTAACCTTGGTTTGGAATCTGTCCTGTCTTCTCTGTCCCTACCTGAATATGCTATATATTCAAATACAGGAAGTCAATTACATGTGACCACTTTTGGCAAAGACATGAAAACTAACTTTGAGGCTAAAAGAGGGCAGTGTAGGTTGAAGCTAGCCACACACGCGGGAGCAGACACTCCAGGGCGGCTGCCTAGAGACCCCTGTGGCTATAGAACAGCCACATACTGCTGGGCGGCCACGAGGAACGATGACCACATGACACAAGACGATTGAGGATGTGAGGATGCTGATGTGTCTGGAGGGTGTACACTGACCCGGGCCACCTGCCCAATGTCCGAGGGCTGGGGCCAAGGGCTCTGGAGGCCAGGGGCAGGAGCCCCAGCTATAAGCCTGCCCCCAGGAGTGAAGGGCCGTCTGATCCTTGACCTGAGTCTGAGAGGGAGGGCAGCGTGGCCACTTTGCTGTAGAAAGGGGCTGCTCACTTAAGCACAACGGGGGTTACACTCCCTTGACAGGTTATATTCAGGAATGAAAATGAGGTCTCCTTCCTGTGATCTTAAAGCGTCCTTTTTGTCATTTTTATAAACCAAGGAGCTCTATAAACCTCTTTTTAAAAATAAATATGTCTTTATTTTTTTTCGGGGGGGGTGTAGTAATTAGGTTTATTTATTTATTTACTTTTTAGTGGAGGTACTGGGGATTGAACCCAGGACCTCGTGCATGCTAAGCATACGCTGTACCACTGCGCTGTACCTGCCCTCATCTATAAATCTCTTTTAAAACAAGAAGTTAAACCCTGTCTTTAGAGTCTAACTTGTTGTATGCTAGGAAATGTGCAAGAGCCCTCAGGGCACTAAGGTCCAGAAGCCCTGGGGAGCCTGACTCACTCAGTCAGTGATACCTGTCATCTGTCACTTTGAGGAGGTTACCTGGCGCGTCTTCCAGGACATCTGTAAGTGCTGCTTCCAAGGAGCCCGCTATTTCCCTAAATCTGAGATAAAAACAAGAGCGGAAGTCAGTGCCCCTCTGCTGCAAGGTGCCTCTCCCCACCCCACCCCACTCCCGTGGGACAGGACCCTCCTCCGCTTGCTTGTGGGTGGGTAAAGCCACCATCTGCTCTCAGAGATGCCCCACCCACTCGGGGTGCTTATTCTCCACACTTCTTTTTTCTTTAAACTAAGCAGGAGACAAACTTTTCTTCATTAATCCACTGGGAAGCCATTTCTGGCAAGTCTCGCCAGGCTCTAATCATGTGGGCCGTCAGACTGCGGTCCCTCCAACCTTCCTACCTCAGTACCATCGGGGGAAAGTCAACGTCCCCAAACGAGTAAGTGGGGCAGCTGTATTCTGTATCTTTGTTTGCAGCCTGAGGAAAATCACTGAAAGGAGCCAGTCAAGACTAGAACGAGGCATTGCTTGGTGCTCTCAGAATTTCTGCCCACCCCCGCTGTCATGGTAACCGGCCCTGCCGGCCCCACAGCCACAGATCTGCTTCCTGGATGAGCTGCCTTTTCTCTCTGTGGGCCAGTCTGTCACCCACATCTTCCCGACAGACTGTGGTGCTCAGAACTGAAGCGGACACATCTGTATGACTCTGGGACGTCAAACTGTGTGCGTGCGTGTGTGCATAACCAGCTGCGTGCGCAGCACCCTCCGTGCCAGCTGCACAGCCCTCCCCTCCTCAGACTTTCCTTACAAAACCCACTCTCTTATTGTCGCCTGCTAGTTCCCAAGAGCAATAAATTCTGACCCGTGCTGAACATCGACTTACCTAAGTAATAATTCTGGGCTTTTTGATGGTACATATGTGCTTTTTTTAAAAAATTAAGTTAAATTTACTTATTATGTATTTTTGGTGGGAGGAGGTAATTAGGCTTATTTATTTACTCTTAAGAGGAGGTGGTGGGGATTGAACCCAGAACCTCACGCATGCTGAGCATGCGCTCTGCCATTTGAGCTATACCCTCCCCTCGACATGTGCTTTTTAAAAGCAGTTTGGAGACTGAGCGCTTCAGGAAATGGTGGGAAGAGCCAGAGGAGCAGCACCGCAGAGACAGCAGCCCAGGCCTTCACGGAGGCTTGGGCGCCGAGGGCGGCAGGCTCTGAACCACCCGGTCCCCGCAGCTGCCCTTTGCCACGGGGCAGAGAGGAGCTCCCTGACGGCCTGGTGACGCTTGCGAAAGGCTGGTCTCCCCAGGCTGAGGGACAGGCACAGAGGGAACAAGGGACAGGCAGAAGAAAACAGGGGGCAGAGGAGAGAGCCCCGGGGACCTCACGGGAACGGCGGTGAAGGAGGCAGTGACCCCGAGCACAGGGAGGAGGGGAGAGGGGGCTGCCCTGCGGCGGGGAGGGCACGCCAGCGCCTGCCTGCGACCTTAGACCCCCGACCCCACTTCCCCTCCACTCTACACAAAACACAGGAAGTCGCCTCCAACATGGCCAGAGCCTGACAACGAACACAGCACGGCTTATAACAGAGAAGCCTGGGAGCAACTCCGCGCCCCGAGGAAGGGCAAGGCTCTGCAGGTGCATGGCCCGTTCGCCCTGGCAGCAGCTGGGCAGAGGTCCGCTCAAAGCTCTAAAGCACCAGGGTAGTTCAGCAGCAAGTAGCAGGAGCAAACGACACGTCTGCGTACGACGAGTCTGAAACCAGACCGACAAGGAAGTACAAGAAACGACCGCAGCCGACCCCGGACAGGGGCGCATTTCACACAGCCGCCTGGCTCCGCGCGACTCAGCGCAAGGGCCACGGGGGTAAGACCGGCTGGGTCGCGGGGCATCACGGTGCCTCCCCAGCCAGGAGCCCAGCACTGGCCCCCAGCGGCTTCGCTGGGCAGTCGCTCCCAGGGTTGAAGCGATGGGTTCTATCTGTTCTTGGAAAATAGAAAGTGTGGGAGGCTGCTTTGGTGGGACCTGCAGAGTTGTGCTGCAGTTTCACGTGTCTGTGGGCTGTCATTCTACTCTTGACAGGATATTTGTAAGAAAGGCAACCCCTACACAAAGGTTTCTAAATTGGAGTTTGGGGAAGGCCTCGCGACACACCACCCCACGCACACCCCTGCTTCGTGCACACGCAGACCTGAGGGGGCAGGAGGGGAGGGGGGGCACGTGACCACCATATCACCTCCGCACCGTACAGGAGGGGGCAGACCATGTGCAGCACATACTGCATGTCACATACATGGGACATACATGTGAATGTTCTGGAAGTATGTAACATCTCAAAAGATATCAACTAAAAAAGACCTAACTCTTCGCCTTCGGCATTTAAGGGGCTAAATCCACAGCAACCAGGTAGCCACTGATTGGCCACCATTTGAGACTGCTTGGGGCACATCTGCATTTATTCTTTCCCTATGAGAAACAAAGTCCTAACCCGACTTTCTAGTCCTCCTGGAAGGACAAGTGGACGCAGACACAGCAGGAGACAGTGCGGGGTGCACACGTGTGCAGGAGTGGTGCCGGGTGGGGAGTCCAGCCCTTTTCCCCGAAGAGGATGGAACAGAGTCAGACCCAGGACCGTCAACCCGCTACTGCGAGTGCAATGCTAACACTGCTCCTGGAACCACGGCCAAACGTCACCACCCCGCTGGCGGTCACGCTGACTAAACGACCCTGACGTGAGTCAGATCACAACACAACTCTGACCCTAGCCGTGTTTGCAGACTGTTCTGTCATGCCTCAGAGTAGTCACTCCAACGCCTGATAAAAATCAACAGAACAGGCCTCTAAAGCACTGCCGGAATTGACTTTTTTCAGTGGAAAAACAGAAGGACTGAAAACAAGCTCCACGCTTCATAACTCAAACAACGTTTGCAAATTTTATAGATTTTAAATAAAACTGTTTACAAAGAAAAGTTAGCCAAATCTCCCTGAAGGCTTAAGGCTAAAATCTGGTGAAAGCAAAAAAGTCTTTCAGGGTCTCGACAGAGCTTAAGGCTCAATAACCAGCCCCGAGAGAACCTGTTATGGGGGGGGTGGTCATGGGATCTGGAGGAAACAGCTAGAGAACAGAAGTCCGTGCCGCGAGGGGCTTAGATGTCTGAAGCAACCTAACTCCGAGCCTGGACTACAGAAGACACGGGACAGTTTAAACACTGTTTCTCCGCCGTAGTCTCGTACGATAAAGTGATGCTTCACCGTTTTAAGTTCTGCTCATGAAGCAACAGGGCTTCTGGCCCTGACTTAATCTTGATTATCACGTAACAATTATTTCCCACCCCATCCATGAGTATCTCAGATACACAAGTCCTTAATTTCCTACTAAAAGACAACCTACGTGATAATGTAACCTTGAAAAATTAAGCACAAAACCCAGTTTTGTATGTGAAAGGGCATCTCACTACCGTTCTTACAGCCGTGGTTTCATTATTAAAAGATGATTACATACCTTCTCAATCATGGCAAGCAACTACAATCAAGGGATCTAATGCTTAATATATTCCCTCTCCGTAATTTTCCCTCAGAACTCTGGGGAAAGACTGCATCGTAATTAATGAAAGCATCCAGCAATTTACACAAAAAAAACCCTACAGTGCTTTAAAGAACATTTAAATGCCATTCCATGGAGGAACTGACTATGATCTCACACAAGAGAATCTGCAAACTGGCTGTTATCATCTCTTTTTCTAGAGGAATGTATGTTGTGAAGAATTTATCCTGAATTTCCCCAAGCAGTTTAGAGAACCACTTACTGACAGAGGTGATAGCATTATGACACCTGGAAGAAAAGTGTCACTGTTTTCCAGAATGAGAGGAAAAAATGTCACAAAGATTATAAGGGAAGCCAAGATAATACCTGGAATGCTTATAAATGGACAGAGGGGGAAAGCGACAAAGAAGACTTTCAGGCTACGCTCCACCCTCCTCCCTCCGAGGGGAAGACTACCACAGGCGGGTCACACAGTAGAGAGGGCGTGCATCTGCTCTTTGATCAGGTGAGCAGAGAGGAGGGTGGGGAGAAACGGCTGCTGTGACTCCAGCTCCATCCGGCTCTTCACAACACATGAGACACAGCACACGGGTGTGCAGCTGGGCCTGGTCGAGCTCACTCTGAGTCCAGGGTTCTCAGCTCTCTCGTGACCAAAGAGTAAAACTTCTCTTTTGGTCACCCAAGCCAGAACTCTGGCGATCATGACACTTCTTGTGCATTTCTACTTTAAATTTTGCTTCCCAAGGAAGAATACGATGACCACGGAGAAGGGGCTGTTAACTGCAGCAACATCCTTAACCGGTATTCAAACTCTACCTTAGACGGGCGGAGGTGGGGGAAGTAAGTTACTGACCTTATTTGAAAATAAACAGGCAAGTTCCACTTATTAGTGAAGCTGTGGTAGGCGGGATGCCTCTTAATCTCTTCACGCTGGCCTGTGATCCACATTGCCGTTCAAATGCTCTTACAAAATCCATACTTATGGTATATTTCTACAATAAGAACAAACAGGTGGAATTTTCATTGTAAGTGAAATAACCAGGATTGGGAGCTTATACTGAAAACTGTAATCAAGATAAAGGTCAACACACAGAATCAGTTTCTAGAGCAGATAAGGACCTTATGGGATCTTCCTTCCAAGGTCCCCACTTACAGATCAAGTTATGTCCAAAGCGGTTCCAAGACACACTCAGGTCTCGGGGGGGAAACCCATCAGGAAACCCAGACATTCTTAAGTCCGGTGCTTTTTATCAAGTGACAGCTCTCCTCCATCTTCTGGGGCACCCCTAGCCCAGTCCATCGGAATCAGAGGACATGGCAGATCAAGTGGTAAAATTTCCATTGTCTCTCCAGAAGCAGCAGAAAATTTTAAAAAGAAAGACTCAAACCATATGAGTACTTACATCACTTTTATAGGTGAGACAGCATGAGGACTGATGGGGGACCGAACACCACCATTAAGAGCAGCAGCCAACACGTACCTAACATTAACATCCACACACTGTGCTTCAAATTGTATTATTTAATTTAACCGAGAAAATTACCCTACCAGGTAACTACTGTTATTATCATCCCCATTTTGCAGATGATGCTTCCTCTTGTTTAGGCTCAGAGAGCATTTTCCCAAAGACAAAGCTAGGAAGCAGAACCCCAGCTGTCAGCAGTGCAAAACTGCAGCTGCATGTTCCTTTGCGGGGGGGGGGGGTCTATTCCCCAAGAACATTGCAGGACTTTCCACGTGCTTCTCATTCAACAGGGGCTCAATTCTGGGTCGCCAAACCATCCAGCTGACTGTGCTCATGTGCTCAGATGGGAATTCTGGTGCAGTTAACACTACTGCAGGTGTTACATTTCTTTCAATTGGTTTCAAGCAACACTTACTGAATTCCCGAGTGTGATCTAGATGTGGAGTGGAGACAAAGAAAGGTATTACTCATCCTTTTTTGGGATGAACTATACCTCTGCATATAGTGGATATTAAAGGAATAAAAAAAATGTCCCTTTTCACAAAAGCATGTCATCTTAAAGCTGCAAGCTGAAAGCACGTCTTACAAGAAATGTACCCACAAGCATTGTGTATTGGTTAGAATTCTAAAGTCAACATTCCGTCAGGAAGCTTCATTTCTGCGCTGAGAAATCTCCCGAGGCTAACACGATCAACAGGACTCTCTAAAGGGAAACGTAAAGAATCTGAACTGCTGACACTTGGGGCCACTGCTGCATTCTGTGTAAGGTATCCATTTAAAAAACGTACTTTCTTAAAGTCACAAAAATCACCATCACACAATTTGTTGAAAATATGACTCAGTCATATATAAAACAGGATGATTAACCACGAGAACAGAGAAGAGGTATTTCTGGGACAATAAAGCTCCAAATTTGCTGTTGTGTTTGTTTTTGAAGTCTACCAGGCCCCAGGCTCACCACACTCACCTTGTGCCTCTTGACGCTTAAAACCTAATAGGCAAACTGACCAAGCAGAACTAGAAAAAGAAGCAACCAGAACTTCTAGAAATGAAAATAATGATAATTAGAATTGGAAACAACGTACAGGTGAAAAAGAGTTTAGACACAACTGAAGAAGGAATTAGTGAAGTAGAAGAAAGGCCCTGAGAAATTATCCACAATGCAGCACAGAGACAGAGATGAAAAATTAAACAGTTAATTTAGGAAACACAGAGGATAAAGTGAGGAACTCTAATCAAGAGCTCTGGAAGAAAATAGCAGAAGAACGAGAGAGGAGCACAACTGAATGACTGATAAATAAAAATGACACAGAACTCATTAAAAAAAACACCAATCCTCAGATTCAGGAAACCCAGCAAATCCCAAATACAATCAATAAAAAGCCCACACTAGATACACCATAACGAAACAGCACATCACAGTCACAGGGAAGACTTTAAAAGGAGCCAGAGGAAAAAGGTGTTACGACTAAAAAGAAATGACAGCAATGACTGACTTCATAATGGAAGTCAAGAGACAGCGTTCCAAGTGCAGAGGATTCTAGCTGCAGCCAAACTTCCTCTTTCAAACACAAAAGCAATAAAGCTATTTTCAGACAAATACAAACTGAGGGTTAATTATAAAAAACTGAAGTTTATTATCAACAGACCCTGACTAAAAAGTCTTCTAATAGATGAATTTCAGGAGGAAGGAAAATGATCCAAGAAAGAAGGTCTAACAGCCAAGAAGAAACAGTAAGCAAAGGAAATGATAAACACGTGGGGTAATTCTGAGGATGACGACCCTGTGAGACAATAAAAATAACACCCAATTTTGGGGATAAAAAAGTCAAACCAGAAACGAGACCCTGGGAACGATGATGCACGCTACGGAATGGGGCCAGTGGGAAAGCACGCCAAGCCCCCTGTGCTGCTGACATCTTACACGAAGAAACAAAGGGCAGGACTTCCAAATTAGTGGGCGGACAAACACAGAATAAATGAGGAAAACAAATCCCTCGAAGTCCAAAATACAAAGATGGTGGAAAAGGAGAGTGAAAAAGGAAGGGATAAAGGGAAAGAGGGAAGAAAAGTGGGACAAACAGGAAGCGTAAAAAAGGACCCAGAAATCAGTAACCACGAGCATTCTAAGTTTAATAAATCCCCTAATTAAGAGACAAAGACTGTCTTGTTGAATAAAAAAATTGAAAATCAAAAAACAAAAATCAAAAGTCAGGGCAGGC